TAGATGGGAGATTATTGGATAATGATGACAATTAGGATGAAAGGATGCATGCAATTAAAGCTTTGTTATAATTTGATTATAATTTGTAATATTGAATTATTTCGAAAATAATAAAATTTATATTATATATATATAATATTTTTTCACATATCAATATCTATGCAAGATACATATTAATTTAGTAATCAATATTTAATCCAAAAAAGAAGATTTACTGCTGGTTGAAGATATCTGGAAAATACTAGTTTGGATTAATATACGTGTTGAATTGGGAGATTTCACAAGTTAACAGGGTAGTTCAATATAAAAAGCATATTTAAAGTCCTTAGAATCAGTTTAATAAGTTCATCATGCAGCATCTTCATATGGTTTTTATTGAAAGATAACACCGCAAAATACTTAACATAGAAATTAAATACTTGAGAATTATCCATGAATAACAAGAAAACAACAGTTGTTATTCAGAATGTGTTGATAATTCGACCAACTAACAACAAAATGTACCATAGGCATTTAATATCATAGAGAACCAGTATAATGTATCATATAACGCACGCCCAATAATTATAACATACTAAGGATTTGGAAAAAAAATTTCAGAAAAGAATAATATGTGAACTATATTAATTGAAACGACTAATCTTAAAAAAAAATAATAACTAACAAATCAGTATAAAAAAAATCCAGTAATTAGATGGTTAAATAAAATGCACATAATACCCGATGTTCGTCCAGTATTTCTCAGAGAATGAATGGTCGATGGGTATCCTGACTATCATCAATTCGTGTTTCAGTGAAACCTCCGTTTTTTATGAAAAAACTGAGTTAAGGTTCCGTGAACATGGTACCTTTATGGAGAAACACGGAAATTTATATTATTATTATTAATATAAACGGAAAAAACACTGAATCTAATAACGGAAAAACACTGAGCGTAATCACGGAATAAATTTTTTACAGGGGTATAATAACTCTTTAGTTTGCGATTCATTAAAAATTATGGTACGTGTTAAAATAATAATAACAGTGATAACAATCCCATTAAGTCTGGGTTTTTAAATTTTCTAAAATAAAAATGATGATAATTTCAAAAAAAAGGAAGAATCGATTGCATATTTATTATCTGATGCACATTTAGAAACCAGACGTTGAAATAGGAATTAGTGATGATGGACAAAAAACAAAAGTTAGAGGGAATACAATCTCTTCACAAACCAATAACACATTATAAACATCAACACCGGCAGCACCAAGTTGGAGTATCTGGGATCAATCTAGGTACGTGCTATGAACAAAACATATTTCCGGTTATAAAATTATATATATATATTTTTGTTTTTTTTTTGTAGCCATCCAATTGCATTATTTTTTCGCCTTTTCTTTCGTGGATTAGCAATTATCATATATCTTTTTGGAACTTATTTTGTCATTGATATTTATTCTTTGCGTATTATGTTTATCGTTTGATTTTTGGACAGTTAAAAATGTAACCAGTAGATTGTTGGTAGGATTAAGATGGCGGAACGATATTCAAGAGGATGGATCAAGCATGTGGATTTGAAAGTCATGATGTAGGAAAACAAAATTATGAATGATTATGAAAGAGTTTTGTGTGAATATATAGCATATTTGATTAATTATATACATAATCTTTATTCGTTTAACCATCGAGACCAGTTAATCCAACAGATTCTCATATATTTTGGATTTCACTTTATGCACCAATAGTGATATGATATTTTTTGGATTTTTTGGATTATTAAAACAATGGCTCCTAATTGTACTAAGATGCAAAAAAGAAATGGGCAAGTAATTTGGCATCTATGGCAGCATCAGAAAGTCCAAGTCTTGTAGGAAGATTATTCACTACAGGTATAGGAAAATACTTTGGATAAAGAATATAATAATAACAATAATAATTAATTAATCAAAACTTGTATATTAATTGTCATTAAAATTGTATCAAAATTTTTAATAAATCATTAATTCATTATTATTATTTTTATGTAGTTATAATTTTTTTTTTTTTAAATATAATATAATAGAAGAGGGAAAGAACAATCAACTTAACCAAAATAATTTAATAATAATATTTTATTTTTCACTTATAAATAAGTTATAATATGATTCTAAATAATTTGAGATTTCAATATTATTATTATACAACAAACTTTGATTATTATGAATATAATCTAAAATATTTGTTAAAATATATAAATTGTTGTTCTTCTTGTTATCATTTTGGTCATTGACAATTATATTTGG